AGTGTGTATCAGGGATCCTTAGGACAGGTGTCAATTCATATCTTCCAAGTGACCCTATGTAGGGGGAACAGTCTCTATTCTGCTCTGTGTCAGTGTGTATCATGATCTCTGAGGACAGGTGTCAATCCATATCTGCCAAGTGACCCTATGTGGGAGGAACAGTCCCTATTCTATTATGTGTCAGTGTGTATCAGGGATCCCTAGGACAGGTGTCAATCCATATCTGCCAAGTGACCCTATGTAGGAGGAACAGTCCCTATTCTGCTCTGTGTCAGTGTGTATCAGGGATCCTTAGGACAGGTGTCAATCCATATCTGCCAAGTGTCAATCCATATCTGCCAAGTGACCCAATGTAGGGTGAACAGTCTCTATTCTGCTCTGTGTCAGTGTGTATCATGGTCTCTGAGGACAGGTGTCAATCCATATCTGCCAAGTGACCCTATGTAGGGGGAACAGTCTCTATTCTGCTCTGTGTCAGTGTGTATCATGGTCTCTGAGGACAGGTGTCAATCCATATCTGCCAAGTCCTCTATTCTGCTCTGTGTCCGTGTGCATCAGGGGCTCTGAGGACAGGTGTCAATCCATATGTCAAGGTGTCAATATATCATATGTCAGGTGTCAATCCATATTCATTGTGATTTAGGAATGTTAGGTGATTTCTGCCCTTTATGGATTAAAACCAGACTCTGCATCAACTGTGTAATTTTCCATGGGAGTTTTGCCATGGATCCCCCTCCGGCATGCCACAGTCCAGGTGTTAGTCCCCTTGAAACAACTTTTCCATCCCTATTGTGGCCAGAAAGAGTCCCTGTGTGTTTTAAAATTCGACTGCCCATTGAAGTCAATGGCGGTTCTCGCGGTTCGCGAACATTTGCGGAAGTTCGCGTTCGCTGTTCGCGAACCGAAAATTTTGTGTTCGCGACATCACTAGTGAACAGTGACAGGGTTTTGGAACACAACCTATAAACACATACAATACACTCAGACACTCCCACACAAATTCCTCCCCTCTCCCTGTGATTCAATTACCTTACACAATGGGTAATGTAATTATAACAAGCAGAGACATACAATTTTTCCACATTATTCATAACTTGAAAAGTATGCATCACATTCACATAACTTCAGAATCAGCATATTCCAAATACAAACATATGTCAAATTCATATAAATTGGTCCAATGGTTCAAAAGATAGATCGTAGTCCTTTGTGACCAAAGGAAGCATGGTTTTTCTGCCCAAAACCAGTTCCACAGAGTCTTCTATCCTGGAGATAATTGGGAAGTAATCCAATTATCTCCAAAGACAGAGGCAAAACTCCATTGAACACATGGCAGCAAAAGACAATAAAACACATAAAAACATATAACTGTGCAGCCATTGCACAAAACAGGTACATTCAACATATCCCCAGATAGCTCAGATCTGAGCGCACATTATTACTGAATGGCTCTGAGAGCAGACACATACAGATCAATTGCCATGGAGCCAAAGTCTTTCCCATAGTCTTTCATTATATGAATAGGCTCCATGACATAGCTATCTGGGGTATCACCGCTCAAACAGGGCAAGCACCAAATGACCCGGCTTTCTTGTCTTTGCAGGGGAAAATCAAGCCTTTTAACATGGGGCCATAATCCAAAGGCAACAGGCGAGCAACCAGGCTTCTCCAATGCCCAGTGGCAAATGGCAGTTTGTCACAGGGACCAAATGGGAGACTGTAATGGCAGATGGACATACAGCATTTCAGGACACACAGGTAAATAATAGCATGCATCATGGTTTCCTCCCTTCTGCCCTGGAGATAATTGAGAAGTAATTTAATTATCTCCCAGGACAGAGGCAAATCGCCATTTTAGATGTGACTCAAAAAACACATAAAAATATATTTACAACTACCAAACGTTTCCCATTCGTGTAACGTATCCCCAGATAGCCTGGATCTGAGTGCATATTATTGGCGAATAGCGCTCAGATCCCATACGCACAGTTCAATCGCCATGGAGTCAAAGTCTGGTACAGTCTTTCGGTATGTGATTGACTCCATGGGAAGGCTATCTGGGTTAAGTCCCTTTGTGCGGTTCAAGCTCCCGAACGGCCGGTGTTCGCATTCTTTTGTCGATGGAGAAGGGAGGTTGGCGGTTTTAGCGGTGTTCGGCAGAGAAAGTGTCCGTTTTCAGTTCCATGGAATCTGTGCCGAACACCGCTGGTCTTTCGCATGTTTTAAAATGCCGCCGCCTCGTGGTCGACATACGAACGATGACCACCCTGTATTCGGTTATAATTGAGAGGTGTCTGCGGTTAACCACAATGTTCTAATTGGGATCAAGAGGTTAACCAGCAGCATACTTCTCTTCTGGGTGGCTGTCAGTTCGGTAAGTTCATTCGGTAGAAAAGTCAAATAAACGAACAGGGGCATACGGACAGGTAATTCCATGAAAAGAGGCAAAACAGACGAACCAGCAATCTTAGTCTATACTGATGGATCTGTCACAGGGGGCAATACCCTCACAAGTCAAACAGAGAGGTCAGTTTATAGGGAAAACTGTTGCCTGGATACAATTCTAAAACAATTTCCATATGTCCTTTGCAGACTTTACATGCTGGAAAAACACTTGTGCCAACTGCTGTGGCTTTCTGCAGTGTGCAGACCGGCAAGGAGGGCAGGGTTGAGGAGTGGGTGGAAGATGATGTGGAGGATGATGAGGTCCTAGACCTCACATGGAATCAAGGTCATGAAAGTGACGATACTGTCTGGGCAGCGGTCGGACGACCGGGACCCAGTATGCCTGATGTTGAAGTTAGGAGTCACAGGGTGGAATGGATTAGCAGGGTCTGGTGCAGGGTAACCACACGCCCCCTGGTGTTGAGCACCAGTGTTTGTGCGGCCACATACCAGGACCCTGATGCAGCTTCAGTAAAAAGAGTACTGGATACCAGAAGCCATCATCAGACTGATCCGCAACTTGGAACAGGATGTGACATTTACTGTAGCGGCTGTGCACGCTTTCGGCGTTCTCACCTTGCTGCTGCTCACCTGCCTGCGCTGCAGCATAACTTTGGCCTTCCCGCTCACTGCCTCATATGCGACATGCCCACAAGGTGGAACTCCACCTTGCACATGCTGGAGAGACTGTGCGAGCAGCAGCAGGCGATACTGGAGTTTCAGCTGCAGCACGCATGGGTCAGTCGCTCTGCACCAGACTTGCCCTCCAATTGATCAGAGTTAAAGGATTTCAAGTGGACTCATTACAATTACAGGGCCTCTAAAGAGTCCTGTATTGTTATTTGTTGTTATTTGTCGTCACTACCTTCCCGCGTCGGGAGTGGGTCATTTGCGCGCCTGCTGCCTTTCCTTGCATGTGGTAGCCGTTTCTCAGGCTCCCTCTCCAGAATCGAACCCTGATTCCCCATTACCCATGGTCACCATGGTAGGCACAGTAAATTGCATCGAAAGTTGATATGGATGACATATGAATGCATCGGGGCCAATTGAAAAAGTGCGCTAGCATGACGAGCTGGGTGATCTCCTCCAGGAACTTGGCTTGATGGGAGATGAGCCAGTTCTGGTTGGCCCTTGTGATGTGGCATGCCCACTCCGCATGGGAGTACTTCTCCCCTTTCTGGGTCTCCCTAAACTTTAGGTGGTATTGATCGAGGGTGACCGCATACCGGGCCAGGAGGATTTGGGTAATAAAGGGATAGTCTCTGATCTGCTCTTCTGGTACAGCACGGTAAATATCCGCTGCCTTCCCCACTAGTTTGCTGGCCAGAATGGTGACCCAGTCGCTGGGGTCCATGTCTTGGAGTAGGCACTGGCGCTCAAAGTCTTGTAAAAAGTAATCGATGCCTTCTTCTGCTTCCTTGAAGTCTTTGAAGGCATTGTATGGTATCTTGTGGGCCAGGGTGGTTGTGCTTCCCGGCGCCCTCTGCTCCTTTCTTCCTTCATCTGGGAGGTTGCCCTCTGTTTATTGACAAGGACATAGGCTTGCACCTCCAAAAAGGTCCTGCTGACAATCTCCTCTGAGGGTGGCTCTCGGTAATATGCCAGGTGCCAGTCCACCTCCTTGCGCACTTCTTCCTCCTCTCCGGCCCCTGGCTAGGGTTCGTTGCCTCACTGCATGCCTGGTCATCCTCCATGAGTGCAAAAACGTTCCCAGTCCCTATGGGTGTCTGAAAAAGTGCAAAGCATTAGCTTCAAGGTCCCATTGAACCTTTTGCATAGCCCATTGGTCTGGGGGTGGTAGGGGGCGCTAATGATTGATTTGATGTGACAAAATTTCCAGAGGCTTTGGGTGACTTCTGCAGTGAACTGGGTACCCTGATCCGAGATGATCTCTCTGGGTAACCCCATCCGAGTGAAAATCTGCATCAGGGCCTCAGCCACGGTTTCTGCGTGTATGTTAGTCAGGCCAATCGCCTCTGGATATCGGGTGGCATAATCCACTACAGTTAAGATATACCTTTTCCCAGAGGGGCTGGGTCTTTGCAGGGGTCCTATTATATCTACTGCTACTCGGCTGAACGGTTCCTCGATTATGGGTAGCGGGTGCAATTTTGCCTTCCGCCAGTCCCCTCTCTTCCCTACTCTTTGGCACGTGTCACACATGTTGCAGTACCTGTGGACTTCCTGACTAACTCCCGGCCAAAAGAAACTCTGGGTCAGTCGGTGCCGGGTGCGACTGACCCCTAATGTCCGGATAGCGGAATATCGTGCGCTATCCGGAGTAACTCTGCGCGGTACTGATGGGGTTCCACTAGCTGCCTCATCACAATAGGGTCTGACCCAGCTACCTGCTTGTCAAACTCCCGGTATAGCAACTGGTTGTAACGGATCGCCTGGCACCCCGACTGGGTACCTCCGTTGAAAGATGCTCCTAGCGCTTCCTGAGGGCTCCAAGCACTGCAGCAGACACCACAATCACCGAACCAGAGAAGCGTATACCTTCTCTCAAGCATATGAATGCTGTAGACAGTTGAATAGGAACCATATGAATAGGTTTACTCTCCTAGCAGTCAAACTGGAACAGCATACAATAAATCCTTCCCCCAATAATGAGACGACACTTCACTTTGAGGGTTAAAACAGGAACTCTCTGTACTGTCACATACAGTCTCTTTTATTCCCAATCCACAAACATAGTACAGCCCACAGGGCGTTACAAAACAGCCAATCAATCCATACAATACACCCAGACACTCCCACACAAAATCCTCCCCTCTGGCTGTGATATGATTACTGAACACAATGGGTAATCTAATTATCACAGCCAGAGAAATACAGTTTCATAAAACACATCACAGGGACCCCAAAACATGCAATAACCCCATAAAATATATCCTTGGAACTGGGGGATCTGGGTGAACCACATAGCCAAATTTCACCCAGATCCGTTCAGTACTTTGGAAAACACAGTTTAATGCAGATTCTGCAGAACATATACAGGCTAAATAAAAAACAATCACTGTATAATGTGTCCCCTGCTGTATAGTCCAAAACCACCGCACGATGTCTCTGTGCAACAAATACTGGCGAGATGGCACCGTGTTGAAAAGTCCACACAGTGTCTGTGAGTTAAAATGGCCGCCATCCATTGTTCTCACCATGTGCTTCTGATACAGGAAATGGTGGCCACCCAGTAACTCCACAGTATGTCCTCAGATGGTTCTTAAAAGGGCCAGCAGCAGCACAACACAAATCCATTATGCCCAAATCATGTCTTTAAAGGGCAATACATCCCAGGGGCCATAGTCACATGGCAGGAGGCTGGCAACCAGGCTTCTCCAGTGCATAGTGGCGAGGTTGGTTCCGCCACACTGGTTATCCCATACAAATCTTTCGCCCTCCCCTCCCGGCTGGTCTGAGGCTGGTCTGAGGTGACTCTCTATAGACCTGTAAGGTGGGGTCGGTGACTACTTCAGCCGCCATTTCAGTAGGGGGGGCCCAAGGGTTACATTCTAAGGATCTCTTACCTGGACCTCCGGGAGTGTGTGGGTGCGGGCCTGTTGTCGCGTAACCACTGGGTGAGCCTCTCCGGTGGTTGGGGTCTGGGGTTCAAATGCAGACGTCAGTTTGCCCAGATCGTTCCCCAACAAAACCTCCGCTGGCAGCTGGGGCATCAACCCCACCTCCACATTCCCAAACCCTGCTCCCCAATGTAAATGTACCTGGACTGTGGGTAGCCGGTATACTGCTCCCCTGGCTATCCTGACTGCTACTGTTCTGCTGGTCTTGGCTTGGTCAGGTACCAAGTGACTCTTGACCAGTGTGATGGTGGCCCCTGAATCGCGAAGACCCTGGACTGCTTTCCCCCTGGACTGCATCTGTCTATGATGCTGGCGGTTGTCTGCATTAGCTTGTACAGGATCCGCTTCATGTAATACCACCCATTGTTCCACGGTGTTTATAGGAATTGCGGTGCCATAGGGATTTGTTGCCTCTGCTTGGTAGCAGTGAGCCGCCTGTCGAGGTGGTGGACGTAGTCCGGGCCTGATCCAGGTGGAGCGATCTTTTAGCTGCGGGCATTCTCTCTTATAATGTCTCCAGCGTTGGCAATGGTGGCACTGTACAGAGCTAGTTGGTCAAGGTTTTTGTTGTACAATCGCAGGTGGGTAAGGAGGTAGTTGTTGTGGTGGCAGTGTGGTGTTGGGGTAGGGGCTGTTCCTCCCTACGGGTCGGATAACTGTCTTGATGGGTGTTGGTTTTTGTTGTCTGCGGGCATCCAAGTACTCATCCGCCTTTTTAGCTGCTTCTGTGAGGGACTTCGGATTGCGGTCTCTCACCCATTCCTGTATATCATTCTGGATGCCCTCATAGAATTGCTCTAATGGTACCATTTGTAACAAGTCCTCCATGGACTGAGCCTTATTGGACTGTACCCATCCAAGAGCGGCTCAATGTAGCTTGCAAGCCCATTCCACATGAGAGTCCTTGTCATTCCTTTTCAACTCTCTAAATCGCCGCCGATATGCCTCTGGCGTGATAGGACAGGATCACCTCCTTTAGCCTGTGGTAATCCCGAATTTCCTCATCTGGTACAGTTCTATAAGCCTCAGCAGCCTTCTCAGTGAGCTTCCCTGCCAAAATAGGTACCCACTCCTCTGGACTAATATTATGCAGTGCACACAGTCTCTCAAAATCTTGGAGAAAAGCATCCTCTGCTTCTACATATGTTTTAAATGCTTGGTAAGGTATTTTTGCCTTACCCTGTGTGATGGTAGCTGTGGTAGCATTCCTCTCCACATTTTGTAGTGGCCTTTGGCGTAGTATAAACTCCGGCACCTCTGTCATTGTCCTGGATATAATATCCGCCATTGGATTCTCTCCATAAAAGGACAGCCTAAACTGCAGCTGTCTCTGGAACTCCTCTTGTTCAAATCCATCTGCTGAACTCTGCTGCTCAGAGATCACCCTGTCCTCATTTTGGTATTCTGCCATCACCTCTGCAATGAGGGTTGCTTTTCTTTTGTTGCTTGCTGCAATACCTTTTGCTTCTAGGAGATCTTTTAGTGTGGATCTTTTTAGCTTAGAATAATCACTCTCCATCCGTATTCCATTAGTCCTTGTTCCCTTGTGAGTCTGGATCCCAGCGCTGCCAACCAATGTAGTGGAGAGCTGGTATAACACAGCCTATCTTCACTTTAGATCCCAGGGAGGCTCAGGAACAAGCAATTATAAATCCATAGGGCAAAGTATCCAGCAGGCAAAATAATACAGCAGTATCCCCACAGCACTCCCAATAACTGGACGACACACAGTATCAGGAGCAGAACTAAAGATTTATTCATACAGTGGCCTTATAAAGCATGCTCCCATGCAAGGGAGGGATTTCCATTCATTAGTACAGTAGCCAATCCTGTTCGGGTAACCTCCCACCCATCTCCTCCCCTCAGCCTGCATCATAATCCCCTTATCCAGGACATCAATTCCCCCCATTTCTGGATGTACCCCTAAACCTAGGGGTACCGCTTTAAATTATACATCCCCTGGTAGCCCTGATCTGGGTGAACAACATATCCAAAATCACCCAGATCCGACCAGGGGTTCGGGAAATTTATGGAGGGAATAAAATGACCGACCGCGCTGGAAAGAGTAGCCGAATTGGGTTCCATTCGATGGGGCCCTGCGGTCGGTCCTGCAACAAAAGCCTCCAGTTACAGAGACTAGGGAGGGTTCGCCTGAATCCCCTCGTTCGGTTGTTTCTGTCTACTGAACGAGGGGCCGTTCGGTAGTTTGGAACCGAACGGACCGGGCTTGTGGAGGTCTCAGCGGTGTTCGTCTAGTCGAGTGTCCGATTTGAGTTCCAGACACTCGATGGCAAAACAACGCTGTTCAGGAGTTTTAAAATGGCCGCCGCCATGTGTTAGTTTCCTGAATGGCGGCCACCCACGAGAACAAAGGACTACTGCTCAGCTTGTCAATTACTCATTCGCAACAATGTTGCAATGGGTAATTGAAGGCACACTTCACACCGGGGAGGTCTGACTGTTCGGTAGTTTCATTCCCTTATTTGTTGGAATGATTCTACCGAACAATCAGACGAATAATATACATTTAACACATATAACCTGCCATTTAGACGAATGCAGTTAAAGCCTA